GGGGGGGTTGTTAATCCAAACTGGCCCCTAGACCAAATCGAGCAGTTAACCCTTGCAGTGGTGGAGTTAGCCCCACTGCAAGTGTTAATTTTTGCACATCCTGGAGTTCGGCTTTCATGTTGGGGGTGGCGCTGTGCTTCTTATTGCAGCACTGAGACTGAACAGGGGTAAAGCTGACACGTTCACTTAGCACTCACTTGCAGCATAAGTAAAAGCCTCTTTCAATGGGAAATCACAATCTGCAACATTTGATAAAACCTTCGGCTCACCATACACGGTACAATCAGCTTTTTATTTACCAAATCGGTGTAATATAGGCACCTACCAATCTATCCAATCAACCTGTATCCAATCAGAGATGACCTTCTACTACATGGTTGTTGGTAGATCTAAGGAGATTGTACTGTCTGACTGTAACATGTGTGCTGAGCTTTATATAGCTGATCGTTCTGTCCATGGTAAGCTATACCTATGTTGTAGCCACGGAATCACGTCTGGTAAATCCAATCAGATCTGTGACCCCTCCTGAATATTGCCTGTGTATGGTATGGGACATGCCGCCCTATTAATCATCACCTGTCCCGTCGGGGTCACGTCTGTTATATCCAATCAGATCTGTGACCCCCCCTGAATATTGCCTGTGTATGGTATGGGACATACCGCCCTATTAATCACCACCTGTCCCGTCAGGGTCACGTCTGTTATATCCAATCAGATCTGTGACACCCTCCTGAATATTGCCTGTGTATGGTATGGGCATGGAGCCCTATTAACCATCACCTCTCCTGTCGGCGTCACGTCTGTTATATCCAATCAGATCTGTGACCCCTCCTGAATATTGCCTGTGTATGGTATGGGCATGGAGCCCTATTAACCATCTCCTCTCCCGTCCTGATACAAGCCACAGGCTTAGCCAGGATTTAAGACGATTAAATTCCCTGCCGACAGCTTGAGGCACAACGTAACCCAAATCACGCGAGAGCGGAGCCCGGCGCAGGCGGCAAATCTCTTACCGAACAGAAGAGGCTTCAGACTTAACGTTTCCATGTGCTGGATTTTGTTGGGAACCAATTCGATCTTCTGCTTCTGACCAACCTAAAAAAAAAAAGACGGGTTACAGAGGTCACATATAATACCGCACTGGTCACATGACTCTGGGGGGGGCGGACACGGGAGCCTATCACTGGACAACAACAATAGAATGGATTGGATTATGGAGAGCTGATGTAGCCATACATGAGACAATGAAGGATGACTATAATGTGGTGAATGTGGATGACAATGGAGGAAAGATGAATTTGCTTATATTAGACGCGTGCCATTCGTTTCGTTCAGAATCTAAATTTGGACATTCCGACACATCCGAATTTCCGAGCCCCAATGATTCCGAATGTGTCTGAATCCGAATTTCCGTTTCCGAATTTCAGATCCCGTCCGAATTTTGTTCAAAAACTAAACTGAATCGGACATGTGACTTTTCTGGCCAATCAGATGTGTTTTTCAGTTTAACGCATCCGAATGGGTCTGAGCACGACTGTCCGTTACGGCAACATGGGAGCCATATACAGTATATACATATCATACTAAAGCCGAGGCTCCCAGACCCAAATGGCATTCGGCATCCGAATTTCCAAATGGCATTGGGGAGATCCCTAATGTCATTTGGGTCTGGGAGCCTCAGCTTTAATAATATTTGTATATGGCTCCCAGACCCGAATGACATTAGGGATCTCCCCAATGCCATTTGGAAATTCGGATCCCGAATGCCATTCGGGTCTGGGAGATTCAGCTTTAATATTAATATCTGTATATGGTTTTCTGTGGTATTCGCAAACGATTATTCCTAAACTCACCCGAAACTAACGAAAATTCGGATTTCGTCCAAATCCAAAGTGAATTGAATTTCGGATCCGAATCCCAAAATATCGGAACCGAATTTTTCCGCAGCTTACATGTCCAGCTTATATGTTGCCTTCCTAGGCATGTTGATTTTTGCATAACTCCTCCCAAGAGCCAGCCCACTGCTTGCATCAGGGATGAGGGCCCTTTGGAAAAGTACTGAGGCAGGGTGCTGTGATGTGTTCAAGAAGCTAGCTACAGGCCCCTCCCACCAACCATGATTTACCTGTAGAAGCACAGGGGGCCCAGTAATGGCATCACTAGGTCTAATATAAGGTGCGTGATGAAAACAGAAAGGGTTTCCTATAACATTTCTGCGCCATGTTGATGGAGAAGAGAGGAAAATATAAGCAGCTTAAACTTCGGCTCTCTTGTATTGCTCACTGGAAGGGATTAGCAGCTCACTGATTGGTTGCACTTATTTCCTGGAATTGTTCTTTAGTCTCTTTCTGCTGAGTCGTCCAATACCACAGATTTCTATCATTGTCAGAATTCCATATATGACCACAATAGGTCCATTAGGATAAGTGCTGATTGGATGGAAGGAGCGGAAACAGGCCACAGCGCTGTGCAATGCAAGGCGCAGAGGTCATTGAAGGTTATGCCGCATTTTCTAAGTGACTCCGAAATTGTGCAGACACATAAGATAAGGAACGAGGTCAGACCCCCCATGGGTGTGAAAACCTGGAAAAAGGCTAAAAGGTTCTGTCCACCCGAACCCGATATCCGAGTGCTTGGTGGCTGATGGGGAGTTAAATCACCTAATGGTTTCCTTATACCTCTCGGTGATTAGTGAAATCTGCTGGAATTTTAATGTACTTTACATTACAGAGGATCCAGCGAGGGGAGTGGGAACAGAGCCAGCAATGTTGGAAAAATTTAAACAAGAAGCCAGGTGGTAACTCCACCTACAGCTTATAGATGGAGTAGCCTGTCTATCCCAATCCATAGTAAAGATTTAGGGGGGTGACTTATATACCGTTCACAGAGCGAACAGCTATGTGAAAGAGATTTGCAGTGCATTATATGGCCACTAGATGGAGTTGAGGAGCATAGGCTCCACCTCCTTGGCTCCACCTAGTGGCCTTAAAGAGCTATTGGCCATGCAAATGGTTTATAACTCACCCCCTAGATCAGGGGTAGCCAAACATTGGCCCTCCAGCTGTGGTGAAGCTGCAAATCTCATCATGCCTCTGTGAGTCATACCTGTGACTGTCGGAGTCTTGTAATGCCTTATGGGACTTGTAGTTCCACAACGGATGGAGGGACGAAGTTTGGCTATCCTTGATATAGGGGGTGATTTATAAACCATTTGCATAGCGAGCAGCTCATTGTGGCCTCTAGGTGGAGCCGAGGAGCACTGGAATTTCCTATGTTCCTCAGCTCCCTCTAGTGGCCATATAATGTGCTGCAAATTTCTTTTGCATCGCATACCATATGCGAATGGTTTATAACCCCCCCTCCCCTCCCCTCCCACTATTCCCATTTAAAGAGTCACTTAAGTCATGCAACAAAAAAAGTCATATTTGCAGCAGCATGGCATTGCATCATCTCTCACCCTGTATCTTTAATCTTCTAACTCCATTTAGCCCCCTTGGAAATATTTGAATAGATCCTGATAACCCCATTCTCATATATTCCCTGTATGTTGGTGTCCACACTTCTTAAAACCTCTCATTGTAGTCACACATGCAAAAAGCATGTTGCTCAAAAACCAGTACACTGTTTTCTTCACTACTCCCTCAGAGCTCCACCTCTTCTCAATGCCCCACCCACATCTACTTTACCAGTCTCTCATGCAGCCTGGAGCCCAGTTGCATGCGACATGTGGTGTAAGGCACAGTGGTGTATTTTGGTTTTTTGCTGCCCTAGGCAAGACTTGACTCAGGCACCCCCTCATTCCAAATTTGCCCCGCCCCTTCCTGTTTAGAACATTTTGCACAACCTGTCAGCCACTGGATACAGCATACATGGGATCATACGGGGGAGGAGAGCTGTTCATGGTTTCCGGTGGGCTTTACAGGGTCTCAGGAGAGCTGTGCAGGCTTTATGATGGGCTGTGCAAGTTCCCTTTCCCTGTGCTGTTCCTCTTACCTGCAGCTCGAAATGCCATCAGTACCAACAGGATACATTGCAGTCCCCAGCCTGCTTCTGGGAGGCCTACCATCAGATCACATGCTATGGCCAGCCCCAAGCCACCCGCTGCCTGATTCTGTGCCCCACCGGGCAAGTAGCCAGTATGCCCAAAGGTAAGTCTGGCTCTTTGCAGAAAATGCTGCCCCCCTGGAAAGTGCCGCCCTAGGCAAATGCCTAGTTTGCCTTGCGGTAAATACACCCCTGGTAAGGCATTGTGGGAGATGACCCAGAAGCACAAAAAGCTGCCACTCAGAAGCAGCAGGTGGTATGAAATATTTTGGAGCTTATTAATTAAGCCTCTTTATTTATTTTAGAACGTTTGTTGAATATCTAGTGTGATTCCGGAGCCTTTAGATCGTATTTTATGCTGCGTGCGTCACTTACGTCGCAGTTTATGGCGCACCGCTGCGGTTTATCTTATTTGTCTGCTAATTATTGCCGGGCAATCCGTAATGAGTTTATGGCCGTGCCAGGATGAGTGAGGTACCTGCTGTTGTTTTCCCAGCATGCACTGCGCTTGAGCCGGAATCTCCGGGAGAGGATTGTGCTTTGGACTGACCCAGTTCTTGAAATGAACTGTACAAGATGATAAGAGGTGCGTGCAGGGTATACATGGATGCCCACCAACTGGGGTACATAGGATTACCCTGGAGGGGGGGCACCCACCTTGGTACCCACTGACTAAGACAAGTAGGTGTACTATATACCCCTGGGCGGTGTCACTCACATTGATGTCCTCTGATAAGAATACAAAGTGTTCTATATACCCCCAGGAGGGTGTCACTCACCTTGCTACCCTTTGATCATCAGGACAGGAAGTGTTCTATATACCCCTATTGCCCTGTTGGGGGTGTCACTCACCTCGATACCCTATAATAACTACAGGAAGTGTTATATATACCCCTGGGGGTGTCACTCACCTAGATACCCCTCTGATCAGGACAGGAAGTGTTCTATATACCCCTATTGTCCTGTTGGGGGTGTCACTCACCTAGATACCCCCTGACCAGGTAAGGAAGTGTTCTATATACCCCTGGGGGTGTCACTAACCTATATACCCTCTGATAAGGACAGGAAGTGTTCTATATACCCCTGGGGGTGTCACTCACCTAGATACCCTCTGACCATGACAGGAAGTGCTCTATATACCCCTGGGGGTGTCACTCACCTAGATACCCTCTGACCATGACAGGAAGTGCTCTATATACCCCTGGGGGTGTCACTCACCTAGATACCCTCTGACTAGGACAGGAAGTGTTCTACATACCCCTGAGGGTGTCACTCACCTAGATACCCTCTGGTCAGGACAAGAAATGTTCTATATTCCCCTGGGGGTGTCACTCACCTTGATGCCCTCTGATCAGGGCAGGATGTGCTCTATATACCCCTGGGGGTGTCACTCACCTTGATGCCCTCTGATCAGGGCATGATGTGCTCTACATACCCCTGAGGGTGTCACTCACCTAGATACCCTCTGGTCAGGACAAGAAATGTTCTATATTCCCCTGGGGGTGTCACTCACCTTGATGCCCTCTGATCAGGGCAGGAAGTGCTCTATATATACCCCTGGGGGTGTCACTCACCTTGATGCGCTCTGATCAGGGCAGGACGTGCTCTATATACCCCTGGGGGTGTCACTCACCTTGAAGCGCTCTGATCAGGGCAGTAAGTGCTCTATATACTGTTTTTAACGCATACTGTTGACAGGGCTACTTGTTTGGTTGCAGGCTGGCTGGCAGGTTGAGGCTGGGGAATTTTTGTGTTTTGTATAAGTGCTCTATATACCCCTGAGGGTGTCACTCACCTAGATACACTCTGATAAGGACAGGAAGTGTTCTATATACCCCTGGGGGTGTCACTCACCTTGATGTGCTCTGATCAGGGCAGGACGTGCTCTATATACCCCTGGGGGTGTCACTCACCTAGATACCCTCTGACTAGGACAGGAAGTGTTCTACATACCCCTGAGGGTGTCACTCACCTAGATACCCTCTGGTCAGGACAAGAAATGTTCTATATTCCCCTGGGGGTGTCACTCACCTTGATGCCCTCTGATCAGGGCAGGAAGTGCTCTATATATACCCCTGGGGGTGTCACTCACCTTGAAGCGCTCTGATCAGGGCAGTAAGTGCTCTATATACCCCTGGGGGTGTCACTCACCTTGATGCCCTCCAGCCGGGACAGGTGGTTGTAGATGATGTCCGCAGTGTCCTGGCCTCCGGTTGTAGCCGGTGTATCGGTGGCCGGCCCCCCGGTGTCGCTGTCGCTCCCCAGCTGCCCGTTGCTGTAGTAGACGTAGAACAGCAGAGCGATGACATTCAGGATGTAGACGTGAACGAACACCATCACCACCACGAAGTAGGAGCGGGAGCACACGCTGTTCCCCTTCTGCAGCCCGGCCAGCCGGTCCCGTGGCAGCGGGGGTTCATCATGAGGAGAAGGCGGCGAGGGCCCCCCGATCAGCGGGCTCTCCATCCCGCCCGGGGCCCTGACAGCTGCCGGGCACGCGCCGGTCACCCTGGCGACGGCGAGCGCGCCTACCTGCTAGCGACACCTGGGGGCGGGGCCGGATGACGTAACGGGAGGACCAAAGGAGGAGGGAGCGTGTAACTAAGCGACGGGGGCTCAGGCATCTCTGCGAGTCACGTGACCCGGCTGTCAGCGCATGAGGGATGGAGAGCGTCAAGGCACAGCTCTGCGACCGGACCGGCTCTGGGCTCCATCATCGGACACTTGGGGGGGTCATGGGACAGCGCTTGCCAGGATGGTGGCAGATCCTTAAGTCATAGAGTGTTTTTTTTTTTGTGCCTCTATAGACACCTTGTATAGGGCTTGTGTGGTGACAACGCTGAGCATTCCCATTAGTTACCAACATTCCTGGGATATCATGCAATGAAGAAACACAGCTTAGTGGGACAATACACAAAATATATATCATAGAAAGTTTATTTTATACATTAGAATATAACAGAATGTGTTAATGTAGATCTGAAGCCAAAACTATTTTTTAAAATTATAAATAGAGTAGATGAGGGTTGAAACTATCAGTGTGTCTCATAAGGGAGATTTTCCTTCACTTCCTGTCCTGTAGAGTCATCAGAAACTGAGCGGACTCAGATGGCTGCTCAGAGATGACACAATTATGTAAATCCTGTTGTCTGTGCAATGTTGGCAAATGTCTGACACAGCTCAGCTCATGCAGCAACCTATCTCCTTGTGACTTGCTACAAAGTTACAATGTACAGACTGATCTGTAGCAGGGTCTCAGCAGGGAGCAGAGGCAGAGGGTCTCAGCAGGGGCAGATGGGAAGGGTCTCAACAGTGAGCAGAGGCGGAGGGTCTCAGCAGAGGCGGAGGGTCTCAGCAGAGGCGGAGGGTCTCAGCAGAGGGCCTCTGCAGGGAGCAGAGGCGGAGGGTCTCAGCAGGGAGCAGAGGCGGAGGGTCTCAGCAGGGAGCAGAGGGTCTCAGCAGGGAGCAGAGAGTCTCAGCAGGGAGCAGAGGGTCTCAGCAGGGTACATTAAGTACAGCGGGGGAAATCTCTGGAATTAAGGTGACTATCTTTTAATGGGCTATTCCTTTTTATTTTTTTGCCTGCTTTACTTGCCATCTGACTAAATTAGCCTGAGCAGACATTAAATTGTAAGCTCCATCAGAGGAAGGACTGATATGAATGATGTCATGTAGTCTACATTCTGTGTATTATGTTACCGCTACATAAATACGAGAAGAAATAAGGTTTTAGCTGAAAGAGTCAAAAAACGAAACCTGATGTCTACATTCTCCAGCCTACTCTCCAACACTAATAGATATTGAAGCACCCCCCCCCCCCCCCCCCCCCAGCGTGCACCCGCGGAGGACGC